AGTTTAGTTGTCCTATAAACTTAAATTGGTCATGTTCTTGTTACGCAGCTAGTTAATGAAATCCAAGTAAACAAATGCTATAATTTTTGCACCTATAGGTGAAAAATCTTTTGATTTGCCATGCTGCATGTTTTAAAAATATTAAAAACGCAAAACACACCTGATGCAAAATTCTTTGCTCTTCATTTTCTATAAGCAGAGTTAACAGACCCTGTTGTATTTACTTGTAATTTATTAAAAGAAGATACACCGCCATCTTGTGCCGACTAAACAGACTTGAACGCACCTAATGTCGTAATTACGACTTGTCAACTCGTAAGTACGACCGTCCCCAGGAGGACTTGAACGCAGCATTAGTTACTGTGAATAAAACACGCTGAAAGATAGCCTAAAAGAACCAAAGACTTAAACTACTTCAGTCTGTGTGCATTGAATTTATTTAATACACGAGTTTCACAATTTGAGTTGAATTACTGAAATAAATGAACTTTTCCACGACATTCTAATTTATTGAGATGCACCTGTATATTGGCACTTTTTCCCACTCTAATCACGAAACAAGAATAACAGCTATGTGCATGAACCTGCTTTACGTTTCTTTTTGGTCTGCAATACTTTATCGGAATACTTTATTGATATATGATCGCCAGGAACCATGACTTTGCACTGGTTAATAATTACACCTGAGAGTATTGAGGTGGGACACTGGAGATCTCTCACTCTCACGCTATCGCTGGCAACCATGAGACTCGTAGTCTGTTTTCTTTCTCTGCTCACCGTGTTCGGCCCTGGAGAATGTGGGAATGTTTTAGTTTGGTTTTCTGACGGCAGTCACTGGATCAATCTGAAGATCGTGTTGGAAACGTTGATTGACAGGGGACACAGTGTCACTGTGCTGGTGCCGGATGCCTCTCTCTTCATGAAAGCTAAAGAATCGGATCGCTTCTCTTACCAACCCTTTAACGCGTCCATGGATGAACAGGAGGTGCGAGACTTCATTGAGGAATTCGTTTATTTCTCAGTGTATGAGACCGATCAGTTAAACTTACTGCAGATTCTAATGAAAGTCTACAAGTTTGTTTCCATTATTCAGGATATGTGTATATCATACTGTGACGGCATTCTCAAATCGTCAATGTTGATGGACAAATTGCGGAATGGAAAGTTTGACGTTGTTCTGTCAGATCCGATGTATCCGTGCAGCGATATTGTGGCTGAAGAGCTGAACGTTCCCTTGGTTTACACGTTCCGATTATCAATTGCTAACGTTCTAGAGCGGATGTGTGGTCAGTTACCAGCTCCACCATCATTTGTTCCTGGAGTCATAAGTAAACTCACAGACAAGATGAGCTTCACAGAGCGAATCATTAATATGCTCTTTTACCTTTCTCAAGATTTTTTCGCCACTATTGCTTGGAGAAAATTTGACAACTATTACACTGAATATTTAGGTGAGTTAAAGGAAAGCGCTAGTTCACCTAATAATGAAACTTCCGTCATTATTTACTCACGTCATGTAGTTGCATGCTGATCAGGCTTCAACAACAGGTTCTAATGCAAAAATAACATATACATTAATTTTAAGGAAAATGTGCTGAAAAGTAGTGCTGGGCGGTATACCGGTTCATACCGAATACCGGTGTTTATTTTTGTTATGATATGAATTTTTAAAATACCGCAATACCGGTATATGTCACTTAAACAACACCGTTTGAAAGGGGTCCCTTTTCACTGGTGCACTGTGGTGAGGGAACAAACCGGTATAATTTTGAAAAATACCGTGATATAAATTTTTGGTCATACCGCCCAGCACTACTGAAAAGTGTGAAATGTGCTGAAACAAAATACAAGCCTAAATTTAAAAAAATGCATGACTCTTGCTATTTAAAGTGCCTTACTGTAATCATATTTTGTTTAATCTGGGAAACAAACTTAGATTATGTTAAATTGTAGGAGCACCCAGATAGAGCTGCAACAAACGATTATTTTGATAATCGATTAATCTAATGATTATTAGAACGATTGATCAACTAATCATCGATTATTTAGCTGATTAATCAGTAGACATTTATTGATTATTCAGCTTTTTCAATTAAATAGTTAAAATATTGAGTTATACATATTCTAACAAATAAATTAAGGTAATCACTTCAGCTTTTGAAAGTCATATTATGTAATTACAGTTATACAATTAATTTATACAAATTAATATATTTGGCACACAAAATGAGATGGCAGAGAAACTCTCTAATTCACCATTTAATTAGCTATATGAAAAAGTAGCTGAATGACACATCATTCTGCCTAAAGTCTCTTTTTGTAAGTCATATGGATAAGAAACAAAATAAAGGTTAAGTGATAAGACGTTTTATTTTTGGATAAACAATTTTATTCACAACATAATCTCTCTTAAAACACCTTATAGGGTTATGATAATCAAAACAGTCCTGAGCTAGATTAAGCTTTGATCTCTGCAAACCAAACTATAACTTTAATGAAATGCTTTTTTCCCCCACTGATAAAAAGATTTGATCATTTGCTAGCTCCACACTGGAGCGCTGCTTTATAACAGAAAATCAAGTTGTATTTCTCTGATTGAAAGTGACACTGACTCTGGTTTTTCATGTTTAAAACTGTTAAGCTTGCTATCTATCACATAAAGTACTATATAAATAAACGTGACATGACTGGACTTTACTGGAGTACCGAACTGCAGAGCTCGTGCAATCCACATCGCTGTAATCAGATGCGTTTTAAACTGCTGATTTCTCACCGCTGTCAGTTTTGATGTGTTTATTTTGTTATTGAGAGGAAAGCGCGCAGTATTTTACATAATCATCCAAACGCCACCCAGCAGCCTCTGCGATCAGGTTCGGCTGTGTTTGCTTTGTCTGAAGCGCTGTGTCTTCTTCTCTTGGATTGCATCAGGAGAGCTAAATTACAGTCTTGCGCTACAGCGCCACACTGGTCAAACCACGTTATTGCAGGCTCTTACATTAGGTCATGCGAGATCAAACGACTGCTCGACAACAAAAATATTTGTCGACAATTTTTTTTGTTGATAATGTCGACTATAATGTCGACTAATCGTTTCAGCCCAACAGACTACCTTTGACAAAGCCTTAAGATATACACAGACCTGAAATTATGTTAAGAGGTCTTTAGACTCGAGCACCCAGACTATTTTTGACAAAGACTTTGTATACAGATGGTGCGCTCATTAATGAGGTTGGGGGACGGAGAAAATGCAACGAGCAATATCCGACCTTTAAAAAAAAAGCCGATTGGTAAATCGTGTCTCTGCAGCTGCAAGTTTCAAAATCTGAACAGATTTTAAAACGCTAGGCACCTACCAACTTTGTAAACAGTCACGGTGGAAAAACTGGCCATCATACACTAAACGACTCACACTAGTCCTTCCGATCACAACAAACGTGCGCCTTGTTGCGAGACGCGTGACAAATGAAAACAATACGTGTTCTAAAATCGGCTCAAAATATCAAACTTGTTCAGTAACCTAATGCCCTGTTTACACTAGTGCGTTTTCGTTTTTAAAACAACGTTTTAAACGGTTAGTTCACCCAAAAATTAAAATTACTTACTCACCCTCAAGGCATCCTAGGTTTATATGACTTTCTTCTTTCAGACAAATCCAGTCGGAGTTATATTCAAAATTTACTTTGATCTTCTAAGCTGCCCCTAGCCCCTCACTGCAGAACACAAGATCCAGGGGGCGTGGTTGGATCCACATCTAGGGGGCGGAGATTGGTAGGTTTAAAGGTGGAGATGGGTGGGTTTAAGGGTCAGGGAGTGGAGATGTGTAGGTTTAGGTATATGTAAGGTGGGAGAAGTTGGATCTGGATCCAACCACGCCCCCTGGATCTTGTGTTCTGCAGTGAGGACCATCTCGCTGTTTAATGGCAGTCAGCGGGTGTTGCAGTTCATCAGTCCAAAAGAAGTGAAATAAAGCACATCCATCCATAATAAAAAGTGCCTCACACGGCTCCGGGGGGTGAACAAAGTCCTCCTGTAGCGAATTGATGCGTTTTTGTTACGAAAAATATCCATATTCAAAACGTAACAATCACTTAATCTATCTTACGCCAACAGTTGTACATGGAAGCAGCTCCTGGAGGATGACGTAAGATGTCAGCATTTGTGCATGCGCCGGTGAGTCTCGTGAAAACCAACGTTTGTTCAGAGGCGCAAAGGAAGCAAAGTTTCCTTACCAATCTCCTCTTGGCTTAAATCAAAATCCTCAGACATTCTTCTTTACAAATCCTCGTTTTGTACTTCTAATTCATGACCGTTGTTTTGTTTTGATCTCTCCCCTGGCTTCCGCGTTCGTCGATATGATTTGATATGTTGATATAACAATGGCGGACTGATGACAGCTCACTCAGGGCGGGTCTAAGGCTGGCAGCACACTAGACGATTTTAAGACCGTTTTTAAGCCCGATTTGCATCCACCGTAAACGATCAGGGGGTGTGGCCCGATTCGCGGCTTGTCGCAAACGATTTTTTGTCAAAAAAATCCTCTATTGTGTGGTGTCATTACGATTATTTATCTGCTCCCGATCGAGACGGAGCGTCCCCGAACTCAAATCGTAAATAACAAACATGATCGGGCTGCCTCTGACGTGATCCCCGCGTTAGCCAATGAGAGCGAGCAAGCGTCACCTACCGGATGTTGCGTGCTTCTATAGCTGAAACTTGGCAGCCACAAACATGCCATGAAAGCAGAGAACATCACCCATATTCTTTTTTATACTTTGTTTTTCACTGTGAAACAGAACGAGCACCAGAAGAGCCAGCTGACAACATTGATTGTCCTCTATTTGTTTTTCTTCTCTAGTCACGTTTCAAACTAAGGCCCTGTCCACACGAACGCGGGTATTTTCAAAACCGCAGCCTTTTCTACACGGTTTGGCCGTTCGTCCACACGCAAACGCAGCACCAGGTCACTGAAACCGAACATTTTTGAAAACTCCTGCCAGGGTGAAGATTTTCAAAAACTCCGGTTGCAGTGTTATCGTGTAGACAGTGAAACCGGAGATTTTGGCTTGTGACGTCCGAGCATGTGCTGTTATCTCTGCTTACTGTTGGCCATGAACATTTTTGAAAACGCCTGCCAGGGTGAAGATTTTCAAAAACTCCGGTTGCAGTGTTATCGTGTAGACAGTGAAACCGGAGATTTTGGCTTGTGACGTCCGAGCATGTGCTGTTATCTCTGCTTACTGGAAACTTCTTCTGATTGGCCAACATGGCTTTACGGTTGAGATTATATCCCTGCCTGTTGGTTAGGCATGCTCTTGACAGTGCTTCATAGCATGCTTTTGCGTTTTCATGTGGACGGAGATTTTTTTAAAAATGGAAGGAAAAACTCTGTTTATAAAAATACAGTTTTTACTGCAAATTACTAGTATTACTGTGTGAAGGGGCTATTGTCTGACGCTAAAAACTGGAGTCTGTGACCATCATATACTACACGATTTTCTATGAAATATGTCAACTCAAATCTTCAGACTGCCTAGCATTTTAAAATCTGTTCAGATTTTAAAAGTCCTGTAGTGTATTCCAAGCTTTCGGACTGCACATGCGCATAGTCTAGTCTGAAAAGTAAGGTTTTTTTTGCTATTTGAGCATAAGAAAAAAATATGAGACAGTTGTTTTTAGATTTCATTAGTGGTTTCAAATATGAAATTTAATTGTAAGCATGGTGAACACTGGAGAATTTGATGTTTCCTTTGAAGAATCTGGCATTTCAAAGATGGCCACAAAGTGAAATGTCTTGCCTTATTAAAGCGACTTTGACTTTAACCAGTCAAAAAATAGTATGAGATTCGGTAACCTCTCTGAGGTCTCACATCGGGTCCCTGCGGGTCGTAATACAAACGAATACCTCTTTAGAGAGGCTATAGTTAGTTTCGTTTGTTCGTCCATTCCCCAAATCATCCAGTAATCTAAAAAAATGCAAGTGTGGAATCAGTTCTGTGATGTTTTCAAGATTAAATATAAAATTGAGATTTCAATACTAACTTGTATTGCACCTCCTCATTCCAGGATGGCCCACTTCCTATTGTGAGATGATGGGTAAAGCTGATATCTGGTTAATCAGAATCTACTGGGATTTTGAGTTTCCACGGCCATTCCTGCCCAACTTCAAATACGTTGGAGGCCTTCACTGCTCCCCTGCAAAACCATTACCCAAGGTGAGTCTGTCTTTTTTGGCATTCTGTCAAATAAATAATTCACGATCTGAATCATACTTCAAGACCAGTTATCTTTACTTCACTGAAAACAATGATAACTTTCAGTTCAGTAAGTCAGGTGTTGATTCAGTAACCACTCTGAATGAATTCAGTTCAGGATTCGTCAGAATGATTCCAACTGGTAACTCAAGTAATTTGTTTTTTTTAATAAATATTAATTAAAAAGTCTGTTAGCTGGGGTAAAATCTTTCCACGGATACCTGCCGAGTAGTTTGTTCAAGAATGGAACTACATTGGTCGTGCTCTTGAGATAACTGAAGAGTTATTTTTTCTTGAATCGGGGTTTGTTGTATGTTGTTGTTTGTGCAAACCCCACTTGGAAAAGAAAGGTGTGAGAAAGTTGTGAATATAAAGATGTTTCTCTGCGTTATTTTGCGGTACACAGTCATTTGTACTGATTCACATTCAATGCAGATTACAACCTTACATTCAAAACTGAGTTAAAATATTAATTATTTTATCGTGTCACTGAAGATTCAGCAGTTAACCCACATGTAACCCTGCTGTACCAACTGCTTTTAGCGACACTATTTTACCTGGAAGCTTCAGTGAATTGTACCTGCAGCAACATATTTCAGATGTTGCAGAAACCTATGTGTAGTTCAATTCAAGTCAATTTTCAAATTGTGAAAAAGTGTAGTCACTTTTTCACAACAAAAGTTTGTGATATTTTTTTTTCTGTGTAGGACATGGAGGAGTTTGTACAGAGCTCAGGGGATGATGGGATTGTGGTCTTCACTCTGGGGTCCTTGGTAGACAAAATGCCCAAAGAGATGAGCAATAAAGTTGCCTCTGCACTGGCACAGATTCCACAGAAGGTAACTTACCATGCTTATATATAGTTTATATATATATAATTATATATTTTTAAGCACTGATATGATTAGAATGAGGGAAAAGTAGTAACCTCAATTTGAATGAGTTTTATACAGGTTAATTTAGTCACAATTAAAAGTGAATTTCTACATTTACTCCAGTAGTTGTCATTATCCATTGAATTGTTGAGATTTTGGTTGAATAAATTTATTTTGCTTGCAGGTTTTATGGCGATATGGTGGAGAGAAGCCAGATACTCTTGGTGAAAACACCAGAATCTATAAGTGGATCCCTCAAAATGATTTATTGGGTCTGTTTTATAATTTGTGATTATATACTAGTTATTATATTTTATTTTTTATTATATTTTTTATATGTTACCGTAACGATGTT